GACTGAGTAGTGAGTTCGATCCTCACTGGGTGCCCCCTAATTTCGGTCTTGTGCCACATCTAAGCTACGCTTGGAAAATCGCTGCCAGCTACTGTTTACTTGGATGTGCGGGTGGTGGAATCGATAATGACGCAGAATTGTTAATCGGAGTGGGCAGTTTCGATTCCAGTTGGGTTCGTTATATTCACTTACGCGCAAATACCCTTGGGATATGAACCCACCTTTTCTCCCCAAGCTAAGGGGCTTGTATCAGTAAATCATTATTTTTCCCAAAAAACTCTTACAGTCTAAAAATATTTTCTGTTGATAAAAAAACAAACAAACGAAATCAGTCAATTTACTTTCGTTCGCTCGAAGAAAAATCTGACACTTCGCTTCATGCTAAAAAATCGGTTTAATTTTTTAACTAATGTTAGCATTGTCAGGATTATAACCGTCATGCTAATCAGGGCCGGATTAAGATCGTAAGAGTTCCCTGGATTAGTAGAATTTTGTGTCCTCTTCATATATTCGCCCCCCTCTATTTATAAAAGAAAAAAATATTTTAATGTAAAAATCAATCAATCAACATAAGCTCCATCTATAACAAGAAACTCCAGTCGTTAAAATCCCGGATGAAATGTAGAAAGGTAGAAAAACTGCTAAGAAACAAACGCGTTGTGGAGAGTCATGATAGCATGTACTGAATGACCGCGGCACATAGCAGATACCGCCCATTGCTGTTACATTAAAGAGTATATGAATTTCGCCACCTGCCCCAAGGACAGAATTTGTATTGGGATCACTATTCTTTTGTAATATTATGAACTGTTACCTTTATATACTTATAGTAGTAGGCATCCATTTATCTAGCGAGGTAATTGTAGTACTCTCTTTGGTGAAGCATTGTCCTTTTGCGAGCAGCACCTGGAATGACTTAATAAACCAATCTTTGCATGACACTCTCTTCTGCAGGTGTGGCAGATGAAGCTGGAATGTGGAATGAAGGTCTGACATTGCTCTCTCTGCTTTCTTCGTTGTCTTCTGATCTCCAAGAGATGGTTTTGCCTTTTCCCGGTCTTCACCAGCCACTACGATCGTCTGCTAGCTGTTCCCAGCTACCAGAATCGATGCCCGTGAGTTTCAAGTCTCTCTTATAAAGGTCCTCAAAACAGTGTAGGATATATTTATAATGATAAGATTTATCTATATTTATGTTACAGAGATAGTATAGGGATAACAAAACATGTTATTGCCTGATTAAAACAAAATGGAAAGGACTAAAAGAGCTTGGCTGTTGCTAACCTCCAAGACAGTGACGCGTTTCTCCTTTTCGGACTAACGTTTTTGGCTGACATGAAGTGGATAGACTATATTGAATCCATTGCTAGTTCAGCTGCTAATAAAGTGGGTTCACTGTATCATGCTAGACAATTTTTCTCACAAGCATCTGTCTTACATATCTCTAAGTTAACCATTTGTTCATGCTTAGAATATTATTGCTACATATAGTCCTGTATTCCTGCTACAAATCTAGAGATTTTTGATAAAATACAAAAAATAATCTGCAATATTATTGATCTTGACCTGGCGTCTCGGTTTCAGTCATTTTCCCCACCGCCGTAATGTTGTCTGCGCCATTTCTACAAATACATTCAAAGTAACTACTTGGATAAGCTCCTCTCTACGGCACCTAGACTTTATGAATTTAAGAGCGATACGGGACTGGCGTCCAGGTCTCATCGATATACAAATGAGTTAGCTAGATGCAACCATAAGTTCTATGCTAACAGATTCATTTCTCGCACTTGTCGCTTGTGAAACACCCTTCTGGCTCTTTGCTTTCCAGCCAACTTTGATCTTCAAAAATTTAACTGAAATGTCAATCGCTATCTACTATCCTCCTGATTACTCTTTTGCACTCACTCCTCAGCCTTCTTTCTGTTTTCTAATTCTTCCACACCTAGTAACCCCTTGTGTCTTGGTGGCTTTACTACCTTGCTTAAGATATATATATATATATATATATATATATATATATATATATATATAATTATTTATTTAAAATATGATCCCTTCGCTACATAAGAGTTCTCATGTTTCGAAACAAGAGCCGAAAACTTCAATATAATTATTTGAATTAAACTGAATTAAAGTGCCAAGCTCTGTTTCATCTTCAACCGAAATTTTTGGAATAACTAATTCTTGAAATTTACGCGTTTTTATAAGCAGATTCATTATTAAAATTAAAATTACTATGGTAACGGCTAGAGCGTTTATTTAAATAAGGGGTGTAAGGGTTAATAATTTGTATCGATATCTCAGTTACATTCAAAGAGGTTAAGTCAGGGTAAGGTTTAAATTTAAAGCGGAAGATGACATCGTCTAGTCTGGTTAACTGTTAAGTGTCTATGGAGATTTATCTATTTTTTATTTTATTTTCTTTCCTGAAAAGGTTTTGTGTATATAAAACTGTCATAATTAGCTTCATAAAGGGTTATATATATATATATATATATATATATATATATATATATATATATATATATGATTCGGTTGAGCTTTTCAACCTTTTATTTAGACAATTGAGTTTAAAATTTGCATTTATTATTATGCTAATTATTTAATGCGAAAATATGATGATGTTGGCAATAAGACCGTATCTTTTTTTTTTATATATATGATTGGGTAGTGCTTTTAAACCTTTTATTTATACTATGGAGTTTAAAACTTGAATTTATTATTTGTTTGTTTTTTATGCTAATTATTTAATGCGTAAATTTGATGATGTCGGCAAAAGACCGTTAACTCATGTCTACTGTTTAATAAATTTTCATTATTTAGAAACTTGATAATGTGTAGTTTTATATATATATATATATATATATATATATATATATATATAATATGTACTTTTATATATATATATATATATATATATATATATATATATCTATTCTGAGGTGTCCATATTTTGTGGGTGGGTGTGAATTGCTATTAAAGATACTGATTCTTATATTTCAGAAGACCTCCTTCTTTGGTATGGTAGAGCCGAATGCATTTGTGCACGTAGTACGCTGGAAACTAAATCTAAAGGACGGAAATGAAACGTCTTGTTTCTACGTCATTCTATGGATAAAGAGAAAGGAGGGTGCCCATACGCTTTTTTCTTTTATATACTGCCTTATAAAATGCTATCTACTGGCCGCTAGCAGACGTTCTTTGACAAACTAGTGGGGGTCATTGTGAAAATTCATGCCTACCAATGCATATATACAATACATTGTTTTATGCAATTCATTTAGTTTTTATGTTAATCAATTCACCCCAAGTAAAAGGATAGTGCCACTAAGACGCAAGACGCTTTAGAAGGAACCGGGAACCTATTTATAAACAAGAAACAAGAGAAAAACCTCTACTTCTGTTCAAATATCCGGGGAGGTGTGTGAACCGGACCATAGGCAAAACTATCTACACCTATTGAGAAGAAAAAATAAAATAAAAAAAATAAAATAAAACAATAAAATAAAAAATAAAATAAAATAAAACAATAAAACTAAAAAATAATTAGTAAATTTCTGAGTTCAAACGGAGACATTAGAATTGAATTTCACTTTTAGAAGGAACCGCAAACAGGAAACAAGGGATAGACACCAACTCATGTTCAAAAGAACGAAGAGGAGTGTGAATCGGACGGTAGACGAATCTATCTACACCTATTGAGGAGAAAACATAAAATAAAAATAAAAAAAATTAAATCTCAGAGTTCAGGCGGAGATTTTAAAAGGTAGAGGAGGCAATTAGTCATGTGAAGATGAATGTCCTTGTCACGTGATTCGCGTGACTATTCTATTTCTTCACACGCGTGGGCGCCTCTTCAAGGAGTAATGCTCACTAACAATGACAACTGTAGTGAGATTGAATCTCACGGAGTGCTCAATGATTGTGACCATGTGCCAAACTAAACAAAGCTTACATATTCCTCCATACACACATTATTCTTTTTCTGCCTGTGCCGTGTCCATTCAGAACGTGGGCGATCATGGCTTTCCATAAATTCCTGTCTTTAGTAATTTTATTTTATTTTATTTTTATTTTTTTTTTTACTATCGCTCCCTTTTTCTGTTCTACCAATTCATTTACACGAGATCGTTAGGGGTAGGTCACACCATGGCTTCCTCTGCCCTCCTTATATCGCGTAAGTGTTAAATTATCCAAGGTCTCTTCTCTCATTAGGCTTCCCAGAAATTTAAATTCTTTCTGAGTCTAAATATAAGAATATTTTTCAAATTTTCTCTAAATCTTCTTTCACGCATGTTTCGTCCATAGTGTACTTAGTATCCATCTTGTAGAATCACATCTGTTGACTCAAATCTCCTCTTTATCTGTGATGAAACTGACTAGCCTTCACTGTCATATACGTGGATTGATATTATATAATAGCTCAGCACTTTTTCTTTGTTTTTCTTTGTTTGATTTTCCTGTTTCTTAATTCTTTGTTTAGTTTCTGAAAAGCATCTTTTGCTATTCCAATGCGTCTTCGAATTTCAGCGCCATATTTTCGAACGTCTGTTAATTCACTTCCGATGCATTTAAATTTTCTGTACTTGCTCGGTTTTGTCATCTAAATTACTTTCTCTTTCGTTATCTCTCCTTTCAATTGTCTTTCTCTTCTCCTTCGCTACTCTGGTCATTTTGAATAAACACTAGACGCCTACAGTAGAGCGATGACAAACAATCTAGCCGCATAAAGCAATGGCTTGTTGATTGACTCGTTTTCTACGGCTTATCAACCCCTTGCAGTTTATTTAAAGCCAGAAAATATTTTTAGATTTTAAGAAATGTTTTTTCAGATGAGGGTTTAGTGATACAAATCGTACTAATTAACCTATACCTTGGGGGTGAGTGGATTCATACCTTTCTCAAAAGTATTTACCTGTAAGTGAATATAACGAACCCAATGGGAATTGGAACTCTGCTCTCCGATTAACAGTTCCGAGTCATTATCTATTACACCAAGTTTACAGCACCTGAAATTCCCAAGCGGTCACCAATATAATACTGACTAGGCTCGACGTTGCTTAACCTCGGTGATCGTACGGGAACTAGCGTTTCAACGTGATATGGCCGTAAGCAGCACGTGTTTATAATTTAATAGAAAGAAAAAAAAAGCAAAAAAAAGAGAAAGAAAACAAGTGTATGTGCGGATGGTGTAATGATTAATGGGTTGGAATTGTTAATCGGAGCCGAGTTCCAATTTCAGCTGGGTTTGTTATGTTCACTTACACCCAATTATCCTTGGGAAATGTATGAATCGGCCTCTTCTCCCCGGCTATGGGTTAATTAGCAATATTTCGAGGCACACCGGTGGCATTTTTAAAGTAGCAGCTTGAAGTTTTCTTCAATAAAAATCTTTCATCATGACACTCCAAGTAAGGTAATGAAGCCTCTAAGAAACAAGAAGTGTAAGAAACAAGTTATATAAATTTTTTTTTTTGTAAAGCTTGGGATGACCCATGCCCTTTGTGCCTCCATGAAAAATTGCACATTATTAAACTTCTAAATAATAATAATCTATTAAATAATAGACATGAGTTAACGGTTTTCTGTAGGCATCATCAGATTTTTGGTTTAAATTATTAGATAAAAAAAAAAAAAAAATTATATAACTTGTTTAACAAATAGCCCAATCATCAGATTAATAGTAGGAATAATTAACTACAAACATGCATACAACATAACACCCTTCATAATCCATAGCCCAAGTTAGTAGATTAAATACCTTACATAAAAGACAACCCTTTATGAAGTCGTCAAAAAACAAACGTTACGAAAGTTTTTCTTTTTTTATATGCACAATCCCCTTTCATAAATAAAATAAAATAAATAAATAAATATCCATAGACTAGCAAACTTAACGAAGATTAATACATCTTCCGTTTCATTTTTGACACCCCCAACTTCCCCGACTTGACACCTTGAAAGTATCTCTATACCGCTACTTATTATTAACACCCTACATTCGCCTACCCAATTTAGACAATTCGCCCTAGCTGTTACCATGGGGATTTTGATTTCAATTTTTAAAACAAGTAAATTTCAGATATTCGTTATTCCAACAAAAATTTCGCTTGAAGATGGAACGGAGCCCATTTAATTTCAACTCAATTTAATTTAAAGGATTATATTGAAGTTTTCGGCTCTTGTTTTTTTGAAACATGAGACCTCTTATGTAGCGATTTGGAATCATATTTTAAATAAATAATTATATATATATATATATATATATATATATATATATATATATATATATATATATATATGCTCCTGAAAAATTAATTTCAGTTGAGCTCTCTGAGAGGTGGTGTGGGTTGATAAATAGTGGCTATTTATAGCTATATCGCGAGACTCTTCGCGAAAGCGAATTGAGTCACTGTCGGTCACTGGGCGTGTTTCTAAAAATAAATACGCTAAAATCCACCTTCATCCCTACCGTGCGCCAACGGCCGAATGGTTAGAAGCTCCGACTGACAGCTAGCTAGAGGCAACCGGATGTCTAGCCACACTGATGAGCTGTAAACAGCGAAATAGTCTGTCTGTGGATGACGTTATATATATATATATATATATATATATATATATATATATATATATATATATATATATATATTATTTGAGTAGATGTTTTTCGCTTTATTTGAAACTATATATATATATATATATATATATATATATTAATTCAACACCTCATATATATATATATATATATATATATATATATATATATATATATATATATATCGGAAAGGTATTAATCCTCTTCTTCTCCCTCCAGCTATGGTTAAATAGCAAGACAGACTGGGTTCTATAGCCTTGGATGGCAACTGGTCTAGAAGGAAAACTCTGAATTCACAACCTGCGGGGGCTCGTTTGGGAACCTTGTGGCATGTAGTGCACCAGGTCTCTGTATTCGGTCCTTCAAAAAAGTGTGGTTGGTTCTTCACAAAGCCTTCACCACTGTAATCAAATTATATTTGTATTATCGGTGTCTGGCTACCTAGAAACTGAGCTGCTTCACCCTCATACCTCGAATAATATATATATATATATATATATATATATATATATATATATATATATGTTATACACATGAGATTATACGGAAAAAGACTGAAGACAAAAGCTAATGGACATAATCGGCTGTTATGCTTGGGGTTTTAACAAATTAACTGCAAGCACTATGTTTCTATTAGCAAAACGCTTCGAAACTTTAATGAGAGTGGAATAAATCAACTGGATACAGAAGGAAGATATTTTTCCGATCCTTAATGGATGCAAGCAAAGGTGGCATGTAAGCAAAATAAGTGATAGTAGTCTTACCCGCGACTCTTTGTGTCACTGACTGTTCAGGTTATAAAACACTGAAGTTGATTTCAACGCTCCATTGAAATGAAAGTTAACTTCAGTTAAATATTTCAATTCATTTGTGTCAGTATTAGTCTTGTTTACAAGTTCCTTTTTAACGTTTTACTGATTGTTTACAGCATTTAATAGGAAAAGAACTTCTGGGATAAAACATGAACTTTAAATCAGATTAAATTAAAAATATTTTAAAATATGCCAAAAAATATTTTTGTTTGTTTAAAGAAAGCTGAAATCTAAATAATTACTCTATAAGCAACTGAACGAAACGGCAAAGCGGGATCTCTTTGTGTCTGTCTTTAACTTAAACATTTTAATTAAAATAATTTCCTGTTTGAAGAAAGTTAAAAAAATACTGTATAAACAACTGAAAATCATGCGCGTAACGGATGCACCACAAAAGCGCGCAAACAATCAGACTTTTAGTATTATGCAGATAGCAATGAAGTCATTTAAGAAGTGTGGTATCAGTAACAAAATGGATGGGACTGAAGATGACTATCTCTTTTATCATAGAATAATTGGTCCAACGATGAAATCTGATTACCTTGCAAGCAATAGTCGAATAAGAATTTAGTATGTTTTGAACCAAACTAAATAATAGCAAACCATTTCTTACGGTTTTTTAAAATGTATTTTTAGCTCTTTTCTGTTTAGAACAACATATACACATTTTAAAAGTAGCTGATTCAATTTTTGTTTAATAAAAATCTTTTTTAATTTTAATTTTTTCTAATCATTTCACCCCAAGCAAGAAAATAAAGCCACTAGGACGCAAGGGATTACTGAGTGTTAGATATGTGAAAAACTGCTATTAATGGGAGAAGACAATAAAAAAAAACAATAATTAAGACAGATTTTTTTCCTTTTCTTTTGTTTTTAACACAAAAAAATAGATTTCTGTCACCCATTTACACATCTAGACGAAAGCTTACTGCCACCAAGTAGACCTTAACCAAAAGGATAGTATTGTTTGCTATATTATAATGGATATCTTGTTAACATGCAGAGAGGATTACATTTTTGAGACGAGCCATTATTTAATAATGAAGCTATCGCGGGAGGTAAGTGATAATAACACTAACTGCAGTCCCAGCATTAAGGGAGAAAAAAAAGTAGCAAGAACTTTGAAAAGGCGTTCGTAACAAATACAACATAATCAGCAAATCGCCTATATTTTCTGCGTGCGATGCCACCAGCAGCGCAAGAAAGGGCCCATTGACGACACCGACCCTACCCTACCTCATTTCTATTAAGATTAAAGCTCCTGCCACTTTTATATGCATTTGTGACCATCAAGATTGTCATCACAATTATTAACACAACACACACAAATACTACCCCCAACAAAATGAAGTAACCAACAGCAGACAGAGTTCTCTTCAATACAAGGCCATAATAACGCTAATGTTTCATTTCTGTGTCGTAAGAGGGTTTATTAGTTCATATATTGGTGATTTATATTGATGGACCTACGTTCCTGTATTTACAGGCTTATGGCCAGATCATACTGAAATATAGGTTCATGTACGACCCCTGAAGTTAAAGCATCTGGTATTCCTAACTGACTAGGCTTTACGTTGCTTAACTCTGGATTTGTAATGGATCAAGCAATAGTACTGGAAATGGGAGAGAGCCGTATTCCAATTTCAGTCGGGTTCCTTATATTCACTTACGCGGAAATACTCTTGGGAAAAGGCATGAATCCAACACTTCTACTAGCTATAGGTTAATTAATAGGACTTGTATCAGTAAATCATTATCTCAAATATTTCCTGGTTTCAACGGGTTAAGACGTAAAAAAACAACCAATCCTCTGTCTATAATATTTGAGAGAGATGGATGCTTTAGAGAGATGGTTTGAGTCGCTTTTTGCCGTATAGTTGCTATATAAAGTACCACTACAAATTCTTAAAATTAAGGCGTGTAATGGCTCCTTGAAAGAAGTAAAAGAAAATTGTCTTTATCAATTGAAGTGATTTCATGGATTTGGGGTTAATTTGATAGATAAACATTAATTTGCTCAGATTAATGGCGTTTTGGGGGTTATTCTTTTTTTCCACGAACACACACACACATTAAAACTAATATAGGGAAGATCGTTAATCTTTTGATTAAGCAATTACCAAAAATATCTGCGATGCATAAATTATTCAATAAAAGTAAAGTTGCGTTATTGCTGTACTAAGAATTTAGGCAGAATAATTAAAGGATTGAACGATAGAAATTCAAACATTGAAGAGATTCAGAGTTGTGAAGATACGGCCTTGTGTAATTGTAGAATTAAGAATAAATAAGAACGGGAAGAGTTGCCCTGAGAGAGTGTAGAGTGTATTGTGAGAAAGTAGAGGAGTAGTGATGACAATACGATGGCATATATTTGGCATTACGGAAGACCAATAAAAAAAAAGATGGTATAACCATAGTTCCTCTTTTAGAATACTAAAACGTAGGTTTTGTACAAGTCTGGCTAAGCACTATTGGGGTTTTAGAGAGATTCATAATAGAATAGACAGAATGGAGTCTTATGAGAAACGTAAAGAATCATAAGCTAAACGGCATCTCCTGTAGACTTTGCCAGCAGGAAAAGTTGGCTATTGCGAATTATAAGAGTGTAGCAGAGTTATTAAATGAAAGAACAGAGGTCATGACAAAATGTAGGCACAAAAGGAAGTTAGGCAGTTACGAACCCGGATGAGGTTGGATGGCAT